CCACTGAGAATAGTCTAGAACCATCCTCTCTGGAACCACCTCTCAGGTAGTTGAAAGCAGCTCTCAAATCCCCCCTCATTCTTCTCTTCTGCAGACTAAACAATCCCAGTTCCCTCAGCCTCTCCTCATAAGTCATGTGTTCCAGACCCCTAATCATTTTTGTTGCCCTTCGCTGGACTCTCTCCAATTTATCCACATCCTTCTTGTAGTGTGGGGCCCAAAACTGGACACAGTACTCCAGATGAGGCCTCACCAATGTCGAATAGAGGGGGACGATCATGTCCCTCGATCTGCTCGCTATGCCCCTACTTATACATCCCAAAATGCCATTGGCCTTCTTGGCAACAAGGGCACACTGCTGACTCATATCCAGCTTCTCGTCCACTGTCACCCCTAGGTCCTTTTCCGCAGAACTGCTGCCTAGCCATTCGGTCCCTAGTCTGTAGCTGTGCATTGGGTTCTTCCGTCCTAAGTGCAGGACCCTGCACTTATCCTTATTGAACCTCATCAGATTTCTTTTGGCCCAATCCTCCAATTTGTCTAGGTCCTTCTGTATCCTATCCCTGCCCTCCAGCGTATCTACCACTCCTCCCAGTTTAGTATCATCCGCAAATTTGCTGAGAGTGCAATCCACACCATCCTCCAGATCATTTATGAAGATATTGAACAAAACCGGCCCCAAGACCGACCCCTGGGGCACTCCACTTGACACCGGCTGCCAACTAGACATGGAGCCATTGATCACTACCCGTTGAGCCCGACAATCTAGCCAACTTTCTATCCACCTTATAGTGCATTCATCCAGCCCATACTTCCTTAACTTGCTGACAAGAATACTGTGGGAGACGGTGTTAAAAGCTTTGCTAAAGTCAAGAAACAATACATCCACTGCTTACCCTTCATCCACAGAACCAGTAATCTCATCATAGAAGGCGATTAGATTAGTCAGGCATGACCTTCCCTTGGTGAATCCATGCTGACTGTTCCTGATCACTTTCCTCTCATGTAAGTGCTTCAGGATTGATTCTTTGAGGACCTGCTCCATGATTTTTCCAGGGACTGAGGTGAGGCTGACTGGCCTGTAGTTCCCAGGATCCTCCTTCTTCCCTTTTTTAAAGATTGGCACTACATTAGCCTTTTTCCAGTCATCCGGGACTTCCCCCGTTCGCCACGAGTTTTCAAAGATAATGGCCAATGGCTCTGCAATCACAGCCGCCAGTTCCTTTAGCACTCTCGGATGCAACTCGTCCAGCCCCATGGACTTGTGCACGTCCAGCTTTTCTAAATAGTCCCTAACCACCTCTTTCTCCACAGAGGGCTGGCCATCTATTCCCCATGTTGTGATGCCCAGCGCAGCAGTCTGGGAGCTGACCTTGTTAGTGAAGACAGAGGCAAAAAAAGCATTGAGTACATTAGCTTTTTCCACATCCTCTGTCACTAGGTTGCCTCCCTCATTCAGTCAGAAGCCCACACTTTCCTTGGTTTTCTTCTTGTTGCCAACATACCTGAAGAAACCCTTCTTGTTAGTCCCTGCGCCAATGTCTGCCCAGGCGCTCCCAGCCGACGTGGCCAGGAGCACCTCGGACACGACGAGGACGGCTACCAGTTGTACTGTACCATCTGCTGCCACAAGGCAAGGGGTTGCTGCTACTGTGTAGCAATGCCGTACCGCGTCTGCCAGCACCCAGGAGACATAGGGTGACGGTTACCTGAGCGGGCTCCATGCTTGCCGTGGTATGGCGTCTGCACAGGTAACTCAGGAAAAAAGGCGCGAAATGATTGTCTGCCCTTGCTTTCACGGAGGGGAGGGAGGGAACGGGGGCCTGACGATATGTACCCAGAACCACCCGCGACAATGTTTTAGCCCCATCAGAGTGCTCCATTGTGACTGCTCTGGACAGCACTCTCAGATGCACGATTGTTTGCCATTGCTCTGATGCAGGGAGGGGTGACTGAGGACACGGCTTACAGGGTTGGCTTCAGGGAGCTAAAATCAACAAAGGGGGTGTCTTTACATCAAGGAGTATTTCAGGCAGGACTTCACGGAGGGTTCCAGTAAGAAATGGTGCACCTAAGTTATTGTTCTTATTGGAACAAGGAGGTTAGCCTGGCCTCTGATTGATACATGGCTAGATTTACTTCGCTGCACCTTCTCTGTGAGAGACTGCAGTGTGACCTAGAGGAATGAGTCCCCTAGAGGGGGAGGAGGGGAAGCAAATGAATACAGAACAAATCTGGTCTATTTCTTGTTTTGATCCACTCCATCTATCTTTTACATCTTTGGCTGGCAGCAGACGGTGCAGAAGGACTGCATGCCATCCACATCTCATGGCTGCTCGGCAGAAGATGGTACAGTACGACTGCTAGCAGTCCGTATCGCCTGCCCGCTCACCATAAGACGGTTCAATAGGACTGACTGCAGGACTAAAGAGAATGACCTGGTCAAGTCACTCCAAATTTAGTCCCTGCGCCCATGTCTGCCCAGGCGCTCCCATCCGACGTGGCCAGGAGCACCTCGGACATGACGATGATGGCTACCAGTCATACTGTACCATCTGCTGCCACAAGGCAAGGGGTTGCTGCTACTGTGTAGCAATGCCGTACCGCGTCTGCCAGCACCCAGGAGACAGGGTGATGGTTACCTGAGCGGGCTCCATGCTTGCTGTGGTATGGCGTCTGCACAGGTAACTCAGGAAAAAAGGCACGAAATGATTGTCTGCCCTTGCTTTCACGGAAGGAGGGAGGGAACGGGGGCCTGACGATATGTACCCAGAACCACCCGTGACAATGTTTTAGCCCCATCAGGCATTGGGATCTCAACCCAGAATTCCAATGGGCAGCGGAGACTGCGGGAACTGTGGGATAGCTATCCACAGTGCAATGCTCCGGAAGTCAACTCTAGCCTCGGTACTGTGGAAGCACTCTGCAGAGTTAATGCACTTAGAGCATTTTCTGTGGGGACACACACACACACTTGAATATATAAAACCGATTTATAAAAAACCAACTTCTATAAATTCGACCTTATTCCGTAGTGTAGACATACCCTGAGGCACATAAACAAAGTCCACAACTGCAGAGTTCCCAAAAAATACTAAGTTTACTACGCTCGAGCGTGGTGCCCCCCCTGCTAGCCAGGAGGGGACCCCGAATACAGATTATACAAAGGTTATATACTTTTTAGCAAAGCATGTTGCCCTCGTGCATCGGAAACCTTAGCCAATAAACAAACCCTTTTCTTAGCTACCACCTATCCCTGCTTGGTGCATTCCTCGGTGCTAAACTAGTATGTTAATTACACAGCATGGTCCTAAAGCCATGCATCAGTAACTTTTATTATCAGGATGGGAGGCCTCACATCAAAGGCCAGGAGATAGGGAGTTTAGGGACTGACAAAGAACAGATACCGGGAGTCAAGGCAGGCTGGAGACAAGGAGGAGGAGGATTTTCACAGGACTGCAGTATCTAAGGAACACTCCTCCTGGTGCATGATGTGCTTGCTTTTAGACAATAGTGGGCCCCAAACCAAAATGGAGTCACATGTGCTAACTTTTCCTTAACAGATGACAGGGGGCATTTTACAGACATCAACATGGGATGGACAGGAAAGGTGCACAACAAGGTGTTCAGAAAGCCACAATCCGGGACTTGCTTTCCAGACTGCAAAATAACCATTGATGATGTTGACATGCCAATCATGATCCTGGGAGACCCAGCTTTCCCCTTGCTCCCATGACTCATGAAGCCGTACGCCGGCCACCACAGTAACGTGCGCCCCTTATCTGTGTTGTGCCTTCCCATACCATCCCCTCAGTTACATCAGTTTCCCTATACCTCCTCCCCACACCCAAATCCCCTTGATTGGAATAAAGAAAGCATTTCATTCTTGAAACATTTACTTTTATTGCACACACAAAGAAACTTAAAGAACACTAAAATAATTTAACCTGGGGCAAATGGTGTGATAAAATTGGGAGGGGAGAAACCAAGTCAGCTTGTCTGTGACAGCAGAGTAGTCTTGACCATCAATCGCCTTCAAATGGCTGCCTTTTGTTCTTGGTACCCTCCGCTGGTGTTGAGTGGAAAGGATGCTGAACTTCTCCCCCACCTCCTGGAATGTTTGGGGGAGGGGAATTTGGAACAGGATGATGCTTGTTGGCAGTTCTGCAGGAGCTGCAGAGGGAGTCTAGCCTCAAGTGTATTTTCTTGAAGCTCAACATGTCTGACTGGTCCTTCATATTCCACAGCATCTCATGTTCCTGGGATGCTCTCCTGCTTTCCATGTCCATACCCAGTTTTTCAGACAATGAAATCCTCCAGGCTCTTAGCTCCGTCTCAGCTGTCCAAGAGGTGTTCATTATCTTGCTGAATATGTCACCACTTGTCCTTTTTTTCCCTATCTTCTCATCTGCGAAAACCTCTGTGCTGGTGTGAAGGATGTGCTGAAGGACAAGGTTTCCATTGTAAGGCATGCAAAGCACAAGGCAACCATTGTCAGCACATACCCTGGGTCTAGTGCAAGGTTCCTATTTAAAAAATATTCCCCTTATTACACTAAAGTGCAAGCCAGGCCATAATCAGACTCCTAAGCTATTCAACTAACAGGTTTGCTGTTCCAGCCATGGTGGACAACTTGGGGAAATCTGCATTGGGAGCATAGGTGGACAATGCCCCCTCCCCCTAGCAATACGTTGCTTTGAGACCACGGACCAGCGTTAAGACTCCCAAATTGTGGTCTTTGTCCCAGGTGACTCCAGGAGGTGGGGTTTGCGGCCACGAAAGAACACAGGAAGCCCATCCACCTCCTTCCCTTAACGCTGCTGGTAATAGTCACCCTGGACTTGCAGAATCTGAGGTCAATGCCAATCCATGCCAACCAAACCACCAGCATGTTAGGGAAAGCATGGTTGAGAGACCTAGAAGTCACCACGGGTGGGAGATCAAAGACTCTATTGTTTCTGGTATGAGCACTTGTAATGAAAACTTCCTGTTTCCCCTAGGTGATGCCATGTGATAGCCTCTGGAGACTGATAACAGAAGTGGTAAGGGAACAGGTGCTGCAAGGTTCTGGGTACAGACCTGGTCCTTATGCTACCATGCTGTGTGCTGTAATGATGCCAGAAGAGTTAATATACTGGAGTGGTGTGGGAAAGTGTCCTACGGTGGTAGAAGAAAAGGGCAGCCCTCCCCAGAAACTTTCTGCAAAGGATTGCAGAGTACCTCCATGAAAGCTTCCTACTGATCTCCAGGGAAGATTCCCAAGCCATCCCTGTGCACATAAACAGTCTTTTCCAGGGGGCAGCCTCTGAGTAGCTGGAGTGGCCACTGGGAAGCAGATACACACTGCATCTCACATTTTCTTCAGATTATACATACACTATAATAGCATGTAACCCCTACAGTTTGATTGAGATTGCATATTCACCAGAGGTGCCTTCCTTGGCATCATGCTGTCCTGCACCTGACTGGGCTCCAGAGTTAAAAACAGCTCTTGGGGAGAATGGATCCACTGTTCACCAGTCTCCCATTCTCTTCCTTGTCCAGAATGTCCTCCTCATTGTTGCCTCAGGTGGCCTAGGAATCAGACTCCTGGGAGGTGTTCACACTGCATTTGGGGGGTAGTCCCTACTGTAGTCCTTCTTCCCCATGCCCTGTGTGATCTCCTCGTAGAGGTCTGTGTTTCTTCTACTGGGTCAGAGCTGTGCCTGTGCAGACTCTTCTCCCCACACACCAATAAGGCCCACCCCCTCCTATGTACTCCCTGCACGTTTGGGGCACCGAGTTGCCATAATCAGCTGTGCTGGAGAGCTCTCCACACTGATCAAACAGGAAATGGGAAATCAAAAGTTCCCGGGGCTTTTACAGGAGAGGGGCTGTTTCCTGTGTACCTGGCTGCTCAGAAACAGAACTGAAAATGATCTCCAGAGCAGTCACAGCAGAGCATTGTGGGATACCTCCTAGAGGCCAATTCAGTCAACTTGCACAACACTGCATCTACACTGTCTCTGTTGACCCATGAAGATCAAATTAAGCACTATGCCTCTCGTGGAGGTGGAGTAATTAAGTACATGTAACAGGTGAGTTAGGTCAGCAGAAGAGACCTGGTAGTGTAGATGCTTACATTATCAGGTCAACATAAGGCAGCTTCTGTCTACCTAAGTTTGTAGTGTAGACCAGGCCTGAGTGGGGTGAATTCATTAGTAACAATAGAAAAGGAAGATAGATCCTTGCATTTCTGTTTAGATCCAAAAGACTTAAATAAGTATATTAATAGGGAACATTTAAAAATACCTACCAGGGAAGAAATACTTGGACAAATGTCAGGAGCAAAGCACTCTTCTACTTTAGATGCTTCAAATGGATTTTGGCAAATACCATTTGAGCAAGAAAGTCAATTGCTGTGTAAGTTTAGCACAACTTTTGGATGTTTGTGTTTTAAAAGATTACCTTTTGGATTATGTACAGCTCTAGAGGTGTTTCATAGAGCAATACAAAAGAATTTTGAAAATCTAGATGGCGCCCAAGTGCACACAGATGACATAATAATATGGGGAAGAACTTTAGAAAAGCATGATATAAGATTAACTGAAGCATTATCTAGAGCTAAAGAAGCAGGACTGAAACTTAACAAAAATAAATGTAAATTTAGAGTGCAAGAATTAATGTTTCTAGGAGAAAAACTGACTAGACAGGGATTGCAGAGTGATCAATAATGAATACAAACCATTGATAATATTGCTTACCCAAAAGATAAGGAGTTGTTATGAAGACAAAAAGGGTGAGGTCATATCTTTTACTGTAACAACTTCTGTTGGTGAGAAAGACAAGTTTTCAAGCTTACACAGAGCTCTTCTTCAGGTCTCCCAGAACATACATGTCTTGCAGACCTAAAGAGCTCCATGTAGCTCAAAAGCTGGTCTCTCTCACCAACAGAAGATGGTCCAATAAAAGATTATTTCATCCACCTTGTCTCTCTAATATCCTGGGACTAACACGTCTATAACAACACTGTATACAGATGTCATTACAGAAATTTTTGGCTCTGGTTAATTTTGTAGGAAAAAACACATACCTAAACTAGCAAAAAAAAAAATTAAAGGGCTTTACTTTGTAAAAATAATCAGTGGAAATGGGACTGTCAACATCAACAAGAATTTAAGCAGCTTAACTAACTAATAAAAACAGCTCCAGTATTAAAATATTTTATAGTAACAGACTTACAAAATTGTCTTCAGATGCATCCAAACAAGGCCCAGGAGCAGTTTGATTAAAAAGTATGGTGATCCAAGGAAACCTGTTGCTTATACATCTCAAGCTACGTAAAAAATGGAATTTCAGTATGTTTAAATAGAAAAAGAGGCTTTGGCATTAGTTTTTGCATGCAAAAAAATTTCACATATTTACATCTGGTAGATCTGTATTGGCAGAAACAGGTCATAAACCATTAGTTAATATTTTCAATATTTTCACCTGGATTTGTGCTGGAAATGGCCCACCTTGATTATCATATACATTGTAAGGAGAGTGATCACTTTACATAAGCTATTACCAGCAGGAGAGTGGGGTGAGGGGAGAGAAAACCTTTTGTAGTGATAAACACCCATTTTTTCCATGATTTGGGTGTATAAAAACAAACATCTTCTGTATTTTCCACAGTATGCATCCAATGAAGTGAGCTGTAGCTCACGAAAGCTTATGCTCAAATAAATTGGTTAGTCTCTAAGGTGCCACAAGTACTCCTTTTCTTTTTTCAAAAGGAATATGACAAACATTCCACCTCAGATACAAAGCTTATTTTTTCAGTTGTACTTGTATAACTTAAAATTAGAATATCAGCCAGGCAAGTCATTAATTGTTGCTGATAACTTTCTAAATCTTATGATGTAACCAATATAATGGGAGAATATGATGTGGTACATGTAGATGTACTTAAAAATTGTTTCCTATATCAGAAAGAGTATGGTGGAATTTAAATTTGTGGTTCCAGGGAGTCTAGGGGTGAAATCCTGGCATCAAAACTCCCATATACTTCAGTGGGGCCATGATTTCAGCAATAGACTTCCTGAAACCCCAATTTTAAATTCCACCAAACAACTCATCCCATCATCCTTCTGAAGTAGATAAACTGAGTTCCATGCAATTTGCAGTTCATGGGTCTTTCCAATAGGATCTTAAAAGTTAGGGGTAAGATTGTGCTTTGGGTTTCCAAGAAATTCAGCACACACAGGAACAGGCCAAGAGGAGAAAGGGCCCTTTGGATTCTGGACTGTTAGGTAACAGCATAATTTAGGCAATCCAGAGAGCTGCTCAAAGTTACACCAACCCTATCAAGGCTGTTTATGGGCAACTCTGAAACCCAGAGCTGCTCCAGAATCTCTATAGCACTTGTGCTACTGTCTCACCTCCTCTGAGACCTAGTATTCATCCTACATGGGCACCTGCAAGAGGCCTCTGGAGGCCAAGCTAGGGTAGTCCTATGAAGTGCCTGTGTGTGGGGATTCTTCCCAGGGCAGCAAAGATCTGCCACAGCATCATCCAGGGTCTGTAGGGAAGGGGAGAGTCCCTGCCTAGCTCCTATCTGCTCTTCTAGTCCAGATTTGGGGGGAGTGCAAGCGTGATCTCTCTTCTCTGGGGTAGCCAGTGATCTGGCCACGGCTACTTAGCAGTTATTCAGAAACACTAGCCATTCTTCAGGACAACCCCAATCCCAAACACATACACAAACAATTTGGCCTTGGATCAGTCACAGTCAGTGCACAACTGAGGACTCTGCAGTACCTTAGCATAAGTCCATCCTTCAGGTCAAGAGACCAGTTATGCCCTGGTTGCATTTCATCTCACATTACCAGCACATTTGTTTTAACAACGTGTAATTTAATGAAAGAGACTAATTAGCACAATCAGTGGCATTAATATTATCATTCAGCAACCATTCAATGCCCAATCAAGGTTTAAGATTAGATTTACCTTTGCAAACAACTGAAATCAATGCAGCAGAAGAGGTCTGTGCCTCTCTTTAATCATGTTGAATAACTAAATTGCTTTAATTCTCATTAGGGATAATCTGAGTTAATTCCGGCTAAACCCACACATTTCTAAAATCGCTACCCCTTCCTGCTTCTCCACGTGGGCACCAATGATATTGCCAAGAATGACCTTGAGCGGATCACTGCGGACTACGTGGCTCTGGGAAGAAGGATAAAGGAGTTGGAAGCGCAAGTGGTGTTCTCGTCCATCCTCCCCGTGGAAGGAAAAGGCCTGGGTAGGGACCGTCGAATCGTGGAAGTCAACGAATGGCTACGCAGGTGGTGTCGGAGAGAAGGCTTTGGATTCTTTGACCATGGGATGGTGTTCCATGAAGGAGGAGTGCTGGGCAGAGACGGGCTCCATCTTACGAAGAGAGGGAAGAGCATCTTTGCCAGCAGGCTGGCTAACCTAGTGAGGAGGGCTTTAAACTAGGTTCACCGGGGGAAGGAGACCAAAGCCCTGAGGTAAGTGGGAAAGCGGGATACCGGGAGGAAGCACAGGCAGGAATGTCTGTGAGGGGAGGGCTCCTGCCTCATACTGGGAATGAGGGGCGATCATCAGGTTATCTCAAGTGCTTATATACAAATGCACAAAGCCTTGGAAACAAGCAGGGAGAACTGGAGGTCCTGGTGATGTCAAGGAACTATGACGTGATTGGAATAACAGAGACTTGGTGGGATAACTCACATGACTGGAGTACTGTCATGGATGGTTATAAACTATTCAGGAAGGACAGGCAGGGCAGAAAAGGTGGGGGAGTAGCACTGTATGTAAGGGAGCAGTATGACTGCTCAGAGCTCTGGTACGAAACTGTAGAAAAACCTGAGTGTCTCTGGATTAAGTTTAGAAGTGTGTGCAACAAGAGTGATGTAGTGGTGGGAGTCTGCTATAGACCGCCGGACCAGGGGGATGAGGTAGATGAGGCTTTCTTCCGGCAGCTCACGGAAGCTACTAGATCGCATGCCCTGATTCTCATGAGTGACTTTAATTTTCCTGATATCTGCTGGGAGAGCAA